TTTGGTTTTCTGAGTTCCTGCTTCGCCCCAAAGGTCTGGCTCAGAGAAGCCCTGCCAGCTCTTTTCAGTTTTGTTGAGTCACCGGCGACTCAGCCATGCTGGCAGCAGAGGGTGTCCCCCATCGTGGCGAGTCAGCAGCACGGCACACACCCACGCCATGCACAGGGAAACACCGCCCCCCCTGGCTGCCTCCTGAGCCCCACGGAAATGCCCCCCACACCCCGAAGACGGCTCTGCTCTCAGCTTTTAAGACACCCCGCTCAGCCAAGATCCATCTCCGGCAGCAGGACCGATTCAGCTGCAAGAGTGCCTGGAGCCCCCCTGGCAGATGGGAGCCGGGACTGATCCGGGGACACCTGTCTCCAGACCGATGCACTCTGCACCAAAGCAGGACACACACATGTGGGCACCCACCCTGTCCTTTTCAGGAAGCCAAGCACGGGGGGGGGGCACGACGCTCGGCCCCCTTTCCGGACACGATGCCGGCGATGGCGAGGCTCAATCAAGTACCACCACCCACGCCGAGGGTCCCTGGCCCTGATGGACAAGGCATGTTGTCTTAGATCTGTCTTGAAAAGGCAGCCCCGTGGTGGGAAGGGAACACTGAATAGCTCCTTCCCTATTGGGGGGGGGGGCTACAGGAAATGGGAAAGCCACCGGACGGAGGAGGCCGTTTTGTTCTCCCCAGACAAGCGGAAACGCTCCTGGGAAACATGAGGCCATCTCTGAAAAGGTTTCAGGGGGGGCTGGCGGTGGTCCCTGAGAAAAGCTGGATGCTGTCTGAGCAGAGCCTGCTGGCTCCCCCCCCAGGGGTTTTTGGCAAGGGGGGATCTTTGTAAGCCTTTCCCCCCTCAAGACCTAGTCCTCTGGGTCTGAGAACCGACCCACCACCACTGTGGGGCTGCAGCAGACGTGCCCCCCGGGAAGGAAATTTCCCAGAGGCAGGGACGACTCGGGGCCCCACTCACCCAGGGAGGAAGGCCCAACATGGCTCAAGACTCGGAAAAAGCTGGAGGGGGGGGAAATTAATTCTCCCCCCTCTGCCCACCTGAGCTTCAACATTTGCAAAGATTTTGGAACCCAGAAATGGCCTTTCGCTTCTCAGGAAAAAAACTGGGTTAGCGAAAAGATCCTTCCCTGGGGCCAAAAGGTCACACGCATTCATGCAAACGATGACCTTTGCAAGGGACGGAATCTGGATTTTTCCGAGCGCGGAGATGCTTGTCTCCTGCGCAAGAACCGCCCGCGGGGGAGCCGACGGCTGGGACGACGCAGGATCCATCGTCGCCGGAGGGGGGGGACACCGCTTGGCTGGCCAAAGAGCTGCTCCCCCCCAGGGAGCTCCCGTATGGAGGAAGAGGAAGCAAGGGACGGTTCCCAGCCAGAAACCGCCAATCTGATCCGGGTGAGGTGGCTTTCGCCCATCGGAGCTCGGCCCTCACCTGCGGGCAGCCCTCACCTTCCGAGGAAGCGCCGGTCAAATCGGCCTCATTCCCTCCTCGCCCCCCCCCCCAATCGTCCAGTGCCACACCTCCATCTCTGGCTTGTTTGGCAATTTGGCCGGCCGGCCTGCCTGCTCCGTCTTGCTCTGCTGTCTGGAAACACCCGGGGTTTTTTGACAGGTCCCGTTTCGTGGGCCCCCCCACTTTGTGGCCTTCTCCTCCCCAAGAAACTGCGACATTGGCTTTTCGCTGCCATCTTTTGGGGCCAAAAACTTCGGGCTTTGGTGAGCTGGGGTGGGGTGGCTGTCTTGCAGCCGGACACGTCCCGGAGCGGGGAAGAATGTCAGGACATGGCCAGCCCAGAAACTGGAGAGGCCATTTATCCTGGTGGGAGCAGAGGAGTCAGCTTCTCTGAACATGTGCAGAGTATCTTCCAGGTGCTCCTGCCTGAAGAAGTCTAGGCTAGACTCCGGCCCTCCTTCTCCCGTCACAACAGCAAACCAAGTTCACAAGTGCAAAGCACATGCATAACAAGGCAACGGCCCCTCTCTCTCTCTGGGCAGGCCACCTTCCGTGCAAGGCAGAAGCCACGTGGGGGCTGCACAACAGTGACCATCCCGTCCCCCCCAATCCCCTGATGAGTGGGGCTCCTGTTTGTCCGTGCGGGAACCTAATTCAGAGAGTGGGCCAAGAGGGGCCAGGAAAGGGACTGAAATAGACCTGAGCCGGGTTGAGTCAAGCGGCCGCCCCCGCGTCTCGTGCTGCAATCTGGAGGAGGAGGAGGACAAGGAAGGGGATCAGGACCCCTCCCCCTTTGTTTTGGCCTCTTTGGTGGAAGAGCCGGCCCTTCCGCTTCCCTCTCGCCACCAGCGGCTGGCACCCTTCCCAGCGCTTGCCTCACCCCGGCTTCTTTGTAAAGCCGATGACGGCGAGGCAGCCACACGGCATCATGTGAGGATGATGGGTCAGCCGGGAGAGAAAGGCGGCCTGAGTCTGCCAGGAGAGGCAGCGTGGGGAGGGCACCACAAGAAACCAAGCTGTGTGTCAGGTCACCAAACCTTGGCCCGAGTTCAGCAGCTGAGCTCAGAGGAGACCAGGAGGAAGGCCGGGGAGGGAGGGGGAAAAAAGGGAAGCGCAGAAGCCTGAGGAAAGGAAGATGCCCATTTCACAAGCGTGTGTCTGTGTCAGAGTATGGGTCCCTTAGGTTTTGGGGAAGAGAAAGAGAAAGCGGGGGCCGGAAGTGTGGCAGCCCCTCCTGGGTGCAATCCTTCGCCTGCTTCCGCTCTCGGGACGTCCCAGAAAAGCCCCCCCCCGTTCCGGCACAGGCGGTTCCCAGCTAGGACTCCCCAGCTTGCAGACCGGGGTAGCTTTTTAAAGGGGCGAGTCCAGTTGCCCAGCTGGTCTGTCTGAGGTGTGCGCGTGGGGGTGGATGAATTGATGGAAGCATCCTCTCTCTCTCTCTCTCTTTGGAGAATCCTTGGGTCAGACTGTTAGATCTGCCACCTCGGCCTCCAGCTGCTCCTGGAGGGACCCACTGGATTTGGCAACTGACATGCACCACCGAAGGGCACCTTCAGGACCCTGCATGGCTACGCTTGTCTGCTTTTCTTGGGATCCCACAACCTGGTCCCAGGATCCAGGCACGTTGGCCCCAAAGCCACAGCCCGCCCTCGCTGGAGCCGACGCCGGTGGCTCGCGCCTCTCCAGATGTCGTTCGGCGACGTCTCCCATCTGCCCTGGCCGGCACGGCCAAACAGCGAGGGGCAGTGCCCTTCCAAGGATGCCACCCACACACCCCCAGCTCCAAGAACGAGACACTTCTGGGGTTTGGTACAGGGTGAGTGCCAGGGGGGAGAGAAAAAAAAGAGGACCCGGCGGCAGAGAGGAGGAGACGGGCTGAGCCGCTGTGGCAGACGAGATAATCCCGGGAAGGAAGGCGCAAACCTGGGAGAGACTCGGAGTAGGGGCGCCGATGGGCGGCAGACCCACCGTGCGGCTTTTGGGTAGAGGCGGCAGACATTCCTGGCGTGCCGGAGATTTTCTCAGCCGGGCTGTCACTGGCCTCCTCCCCTCCTTACAGACACAGCCTTCCGGCAAGGCAACAAAAGGGAGAAAGCATGAATCACGGTTTATTTATCCACACACACACAGAGAGAGAGAAAAACAGACGCCGGGAGCTCTCGGCCAGCCTTGTATGGAAGTCGCCACCATCACCCATTCCCTCCCTCCCTCGGCTGCGGGCTTGTGGCCCTCCAGATGAAACTCGACTACAACTCCCATGCGCCATCCCTCCAAAGGGGGCACCCTCGGGGGCTCAAGAAAGGGCTGGCCGGACCAGGGGATGCCGGGAAACTGGTCTGGATATCTTATAGAGTTGGAAATAGCCAGCCAGGAGGCATGAACCTCGTGCCGGGCTCCCCCGTCAGACGCCACCCACCAAATCTGGGGTCTTTGCACGTATGGGACTGTAATAAACGCCCATTCCATGTTTGGAAAGTTTCAATCCGCCTGACGGGTGACAGGGCAGGGCATGGAGAATCTGTTGTTTTTTTTTAAAAAGCACATGAATCCTGGAAAAACACAGACAAATCCGGAGAGGGCAACCAACAGCTCTGGAAAACGGTGACCCCCAGGCGAGGCCAGCCACCCTCCTCGCCGGAGGAGGGACCCAACCGGTTCAGCTCTCGGCAGGCCGTTGAAGGGCAAAAGGGGAAGAGAAGGCTGCCCAGGCGACCAGAGCTTGCCAGGAAAAACGGCAGGCCGGGATGTGTGGAATTTCCCCCCTCCATGACGCTCCAAAAGGACATGGCTCAAAGGCCCTACGATCCCCCCCACCTGGAAACCTGTGGGTGCAGTTTGGCGGGATGGGCAGCTGCTGCTCACTAAACCGATCCCCCTTTCCAGAAATGATGGGATGCAAAACCTCCCCTTTTCATTAAGCCTGCAGAATACGGATAACAAAGGCCGAACCAAAAACCCATCAATGTGTTTACTGTATTTTTATTTTTAAAATCCCCCCTACCCCGGCAAGCGAGAGAAAAGGGACAGGTCAAACTGACAAGACAGAACCCGGGGCAACCGGTATGATTTTGCACACCTTTGATTAATGCAGCGTATTTTAGAACAGCGATTAGTACACTATATACTTTTGTTAAAAACCCTACCTAAATCAATAAGACCAATGACTAGATACTAGAGACGGACAGTCTGGCATTCTCTCACGCACCCCGTCTTGCTCTGAAGCCCTAATTACAGCCTTGATGCCAAGCGCCCCAGAGGGAAAGCGCCAGCTGGCAAGGTGGGCCCAGAAG